TCCATAGGCCAACATGCCTCAAAATCTAAATGGGACCACATATAGGGGACTAAGTTACCCTTTTGTTATGATCCTCATGATACATTTCATAAGTGAGATTTTCAAGTAAAGATAATCATCAACCTTCAAATTCAAGATTTTTTCTCCTAACATTGGCATAAAACTCCAATTGACTTTGTGGCATTTTCAACCTTTCTCGAATAAGTTGACCCTTCTTCATAGCCGCATGGATCAACTTGGTCCCTATAAAAGTGACCTCAACAACTTCAAACCAACCAATATGAGACCTACACATACTATCATAAAGAGAGTCAAATGGATCAATTTGGATACTTGATTGATAGCTATTGTTATAACCGAACTCAATCACACAAGATCTCAACATACATTCCAATGTATGAATAGTACACTTAGCTTTTCTATAGGTATGACGAAAAAGGCCACACTAAACTTCACTTGTGTACCTATTCGTATTACAACAATACTAAAAACTAAGATTTACATTGAGTACCACGTCACAGTTAGTGGATAAAGGAACCCTATGTAACCTCTCCATTTCTAGAGTATAAAATCTCCCGATTCCTTGGCTGAAAAGGAAGTCTTCATAAAAAAATGGGTTGAATACATCATATGGCCCACAATAATCCTAATCGAATGAAACTGACAACGAGTATGAGGTAAACCCGTAATGAAGTCCATATTAATATTTTCCCACTTAAAAGTGGGGATGAAAATGTCTTGAATCAAAACCACCCATTTTCAGATACTCAACTTTCAGTTGTTGATAATTAGGAACTTATAAAAAAAATTTGTGATATGCTACTTCATCCAATTAAACCAATAGACCTATCATATATCGAAGTATATCTTGGTCAATCCCAGATGAATACAATAAAAATAGTGAGATTCCACCAAAAAAAATTCCGAAACTCATCAACAATTTGAACATGCAATTGACCTTAGTAAAAAACCACACCTTAGAGAAAACTTTAAAGGCTTTTTTAAAAACCAACTTCTTTAACTCAATCATAATCGGATCAAGATCTTCCTTAGTCTTCACATACAAAAAAAGAGATTATTTATAACCATTCTGAACAATCAGACCACCTCATTGGCATCAACCAAGCGAACACCTAGTCGGTCTAGTCTATGAAGACCACAAACTAACTTTTTCTTAATATCTTCAACATGAGCAACACTACCTATTGAAAGCCGACTAAGAGAATCATCCACCATGTTCGCCTTACCTGGTGATAAGTTACACTCATATCATAATCTTTTAACAACTCAAACCACCTTTTTGGGCGAAGATTCAAATACTTTGGGGTGAATACATATTTCAAACTCTTATGACCAGTGAACACATCCACATGAACATCCTAAAGATGATGTCTCAAAATCTTCAAGCCAAATACTACTGTTGCTAGCTCCAAATCATGAGTTGGATAATTGTTTTGCATGAACCTTTAATTACCTCAAATCATAATCAATGACTTTTCCATGTTGCAGCATAACACAACGAAGACTAATTAGTGAAGCATCACAATAAACCACAAAGTATATGATCCTACTGATAAAGTCAAAATAGGGGTTAAAGTTAGTCTATCTTTTCGCTTTTGGAAACTTCTCCACAAGATTCTAACCATAATTTCACCTTCTTTTGAGTAAACGTCATGAAAGGTGAATCAAGAGAGGAAACTCCTTCCACGAACCTTCTATAATAGCCGATCAAACCCAAGAAACTCCTAATATCATAAGGGCAAGGAGGTATAGGTGAGTTATTAAACACCTCAGTCTTTTAGGATCAACTTGAATCCCTTTATCGAAGACAATATCGCCTAGGAATGCAATGGACCTCAACCAAAACTCACACTTACTAAACATAGAAAATAATCAATGATCCTGGAGAATTGGCAATACAACACTTAAATTCTGAAGGTTCTCATCCTCACTCTATGAGTAAATAAAAAAATATCATTAATAATCAAAATGTTTAACAGATCATGGTATTACTTGAACACTCTATTCAAAATATCCATGAACGCTGCCAAGGCATTAGTCAAACCAAATGTCAGCAGTAAGAACTCATGGTACCATACCAAGTTCAAAAAATTGGATTTGGAATGTCATTTTCTTTTATTCTCAATTGATGATACCCCGATGGAATATCAATATTTGAAACTTGCACATTGGAGTTGATAAAACAAGTCATTAATCCTTTGAAAATGATAATTATTAATTATTATAACCTTATATAATTGTCGATAATCAATACACATATGGAGTGGACCATCCTTCTTTCGAACAAACAATACTTGAGCACCCATGGTGACATATTCAGTCTAACAAACCCTTAGCATATAAATCTTTCAACTGATATTTAACTCCTTAAGTTCTTCAAGATCTATACGATAAGGAAGAATATAGGTAGATTGCATAACTGGGAATAGGTATTGATACCTATGTTTATCTCCCTTTTTGGAGGAACATTAGGAAGATCATTTGGAAACATTTTCGAGAACTCATATACAATAAGAACTAAACTTAATAGTATGGGTTTCAGAATATTTTTTCCCTAGCCCAAATAAGATGATAGATGAACCCCTTAGTTTTCTTAGACTTTGGGAAAGATATAATTGACCCTTAGACGCTGAATTTCCCCCTTTTCATTCTAAGATACGTTCATTCGGAATCTGGAATATGACAAATTGGGTTCTACAATCTATGGAAGCATGACAAGAGTGAAGCCAATCTATACAACAATGATATTAAAGTTTAACATATTAATCTCTACAATATCAACATACGTGACTATATGAGAAAAAGAAACATGGCAATTATTATAGACTCATTTAACATTGATAGAGTCACCAATAAGTGTCGAGATTGAAAAAGGTTCTAAAAGAATTTTAGGACCGACATCAAATTTCATAGGCACATAAAGAGTCATAAAAGAAAATGTTGCACCCAGATCAAGCAAAACATACACCTCAAGATGAAATACTTTCAATATAGCGATCACAATATCCAAAGAACCCTCATGATCATGTAGAGTCTTAATAGCATAAATCATGTTTTGGCAGGGAGTGCAACCCGAACCATAACCACTAGACTGAGCTTTCTTACAATTTCTTCCAAGCTTAGTTCCAAAAAGAAAAATCCTTCTCCTCGTGACACCCTCTTCCCACAACCATTTCAAATATCCATACTTGTTAAGCATCTTCGCGAGTGACTTTTACCATACTTTTTGCAAGCAAATCGAAGATCAACTTGAACCACCTCCTTGAAGCTTAGGGTTAGATACCCCATCATTTTTTGACTTTGGAACCAGAACATTAGAACCATTTTGAGAAAAGAACTTTAGTTGTTCATACTCTTTCACACTCATGTTCCCTTGTTGATGATTGATGAACTCGAGCACTTTTTTATCCCTCATCTCGAAAGGAAAGAATCAGTCAATTAAAGCCTCTTTGAATTTCTCCATATCAAGAGGATCCGCATTAATTTCCCTCTCTTCTTTCTATTGATTGAACCATACTTGAGTAATACACTTAATTTTAAAAAAGGCTAAGTAGCCTATTCCACCAAAGTCACACCCATTATCTCCACTATCTTGTGGATTTCCTGGATAAACTCTTGAGGATCTTCCTTAACTTTTGACCCATAGAACTTCGAATTGTTCATCCTAGTGAATTCCATCACCCTTTTCGTCATTGTGACCACAATTGGGTTCATGGGAGCAATGACCTCTTTGAGCTTAAGTGGTCAAAGATTAAGGAAAAACTTGGAAAGTTGCTCAGAACACAACATATGAAACTTGCTCCATCAAAGGATCGATTGACACTTGAAGAACCTAGGGCTATACATTGTCACCCACATCGTTCTTGTGTTATCTCTTCGAGAAAACATATCCTGAAAAGCATGGGAGAAGAGTTAGGAGGAAAACCTTTATAGAGATAAACTCTATGGAACAACTTTAGAGTAGTAAAAGAAGTGTAGCTTTCTAAATGGTTCGTAACCTTCTTATTTATAAGTGTACCACACTTAACACTCATGAAGAATAATATACTTGAAACGACTTGTACTACTTCCTACGACTTCTCTTAAATCTAATGCTCTGAATATCAAGTTCGTCACAACCCAGAGTACATACTATATGTGACATGAAGAGTGAGACCGTGAGACACCCTAAATAAGCTACTTGAAATAAGCAAGACGTAGAAAAATAATAAAAATGAATAAAAAGTCATATAAATCACAACTCTAAAGATGACCTAAAAGATACCAAACAAATTACATAAGATAATATGTGGAACCTCAATTAAGTATGGCATAATCCTTCTACCCATAGATATGACTAGGTCAAACCCCTAAGCCTAAAAAATATTAGAAAAATGAAGGAATAAGAAAGTAAGTGACAATGGGATAACACTTGAACCATGAGGGCTCACCAATACAAATGATAAACCAATGAGCAATCCAAATCTATCAATGTCTAAGAGGAGGAGAATTGGACCCTAGATTTTAAAACAATATATGCACAAGTACTTCGAATGTACTGTATATGGCAAAATGCATAAAATGGTATAATGATAATATAGCTATTAGAGCATGATATGTATGACAAAGTAAATTGTAGTAAAAACCTTTAAAGTGATATCAAAAATCATGGACGTGGTCAATGCATGTTGAAAATCATACGAGAAAAGATTTTGATAAAACCTTTAAAGAAAACATAGCTTATTTGTTTGTATATATTAGTAACGGATGATAAACTATGTGATTGATAACATGAAATCTGACGTAACTCTCTCATCGAAAGGGCTCGTTGGAACTGGATTAATACATATTTCTGCAACCTTTTTCCCTTTCAAACCCAACTTACAAATTCAGAGGTGTTACAAATACTCCATTTCATATATATCTTGTAAGAAAATTCAAATCAAAACATGGAGAGATAATATTTGTGTATTTTTCTTCAATAAGTAAGAAAACTAGTGTTCTTCAATCTCTACACTCTATTCGATACAACAATGAACTATTGTAGAGCAACCTAATTGGGGAAGCTGATAATAGTACATAATTACACATATCCCTAAAATAGCTTGGAACCTTCCAAAGAATCTCTTTTTGCATCAAGTATGAAATTGCTATTAACTCTTGTAAGCATAACGTGCACTACATTTGCAAGACGCGAGTGTAATTCCTCTTAGAGAAGGTGTGGGTGTCTCAACTTCTACATTAATGGGACCAGTGGCACCTGTGAAATGCACGTGCAAAATGCTCGACACAGGTGCAAACCTGCTCAATGCATTTGCACCTCCCAGTAGGTTTTTCTTGATGTTTGTTCCTTGCAATAGTGATTTTTTGTTTCAAATCCTTCAATTCTTCGTATTTTAAGGAGTGTCTGCACATAAGAGAACAGGACTAAAAATCATAACATTGCATTAAGACATACCACTAATTCATGAATAGGAATTTAATAAGTTTTGATGTTGGTTTTATTTTTCTTTAAAAGGAAAAAAAGAGTATAATCCTTTTTGAAGAAATCGTCTACCACCATTTACAACGTCTCACAAAATATAATCAAGAAGGCATAAAAGATTGTTACCTTCTGAAGAAATAAAAAAATATTTGAATCATTCAACTGTCATTAGATAAATGAGAGAAAAGAGAGCATTGTTATGATAAGACTTATATGTAGAAAGGGTCATGATTGTTAAGAAAAACGTGTATGAGCACAAAAATATATATGGTAAAAGTAAAGGAAATAAAATGGGAAAATGACGACACCAAGAATTTTATGTGGAAACCCTTCTGAATAAAGGAAAAAACTACGGGTCAAGATGAGCATTTGATATTACTATAGTAAGGAATTTTACACTGTGTAGTCACGAATACAATACTCAAAGTGACTACTACACACTCAAGAGGAACAACACTCTTTTGGTTTCCGTCTTACAAAAATATCGCTCATACTCTATTTTTCTTCACTGACTATTTTCTTGTATAGTCTATGGAATACGTCACTTTGCTCTCAAAATGGTTTTTCTCTCTAACTTGGTGTTCTATACAAATGATCAAGAATGCTGTATTTATAGAAGGATAAAATCATGTCTATGTCACTAATGACATATGTAAATATAGCAAAGTCATGAATGGTTGCAAATCTTACCAATTTGTCAACCACCAAATCTTTTATTTTCAACTCCAATTACTATTCTTTTTTAACAATTGCTTGTACCAATTGAATAGCTAAAGTTGACTAAAAATGGGATTGATTCAACAATGATCACCTGTGAAAGATCTAAAGGACTTAAATTTTATTTTTAAATAATAAATTGAATAATCTTGAACAGTATAGGGGATAGATGAATTTTTCATTTTTTTATAACATTATTACTTAGTTGTTGTAGTAGACAAACAAGACTCATTATCCAATTCAATTTATCAAATTGATTACTGAGGTTTGAATTTTAGCTCTTATCGGTGTATTAATATAAATAACGTATAGGTTTATATGATGGAGTTGAATATTGTCTTTATTGCAAAAGACAAATCTTGAACGTTTAAGAAAATCAGAGTAATTAACCTTGAAAAGACAATTATACTTTAATGATGTTTATATTGTTATGATATATAGACAAGAAAAATTTATAAAAGAATCCGGTTTCTGAGATCATCTATTAGAGTAATCAACTCAGAAATGGAAATATACAAAGTTAAATTCTATGAAGAGTGGAACAATGACCTAAAAAGACTTGAATAGTGGAGATAAAGCGTTTTGTGATGATGCATTTTTACTTTAGTATAAGAATAACAAATTGTGCTATATATATAGAGAGAGAGAGGGTTTAAAAAGATATAAATATACGTACAACCACATCCAATAAAAAGGTTAGATCAGAATAATAACTTACCGGCAACAAGTGAGTTGATTTTTATAGCCTCACCTTTTGGTGTTATTGTCCTAGTTTCAAGCATTCTGTTTTTCCCCTTATAGGAAACATAAAAAAAAAAAATTGCAGCCTCAAGCTCCCTCCATCTATCAAAGAAATGAGTTATGGGAGCAGAGAGAAGAATCCAAAGTAACACGACACGAGAAGAGAAAGAAAGTGTGTTTTCTTTCTCTACTCATTCATGGGAAGAAAAATTGGTTTGGGAGGAGAGGTTCATCCCAATCATCCTATCATATATTTTTTATTTCTAACTGCTTGGGTTGTTGCAATTGTTGGTATAGTTTCTTCTCTTTGTGGTCTTTTGGAAAGAATTAAAGGATCCTCTGAAGGAGAGATCAAGGAAAAGGCCACTCAAGTTGTTAGCACTTCCCCGAATGAGACAGAAAACACAGATGATCAGGAATTAACCGATAAAACAAGTCGTACTGATGACGAAGAAAATATATTGCAACAACCATTGCCGCCACCACCAGCTATGAGGGCAGTTGCTTCTCATAATTTAAGGACTAATTCAATGGCTGCTCCTACTCGATCTAATTCTAGTTTGAAAACTCTACAGAGAAAATTAAGTACAAGTATGAGCATGAAGACTTTTTCAGGGGCATTATCACATCGTCATGACAAAATTAATTCTAAGTTGAAACATGAAGACTCTATTTGGAAGAAGCAAATCATCTTAGGAGAAAAATGTAAAGTTCCAAATCAAGATGACGATGACGACACAATTTTATATGATGAAGATGGAAATAGGATCTCAACTTATCATCCCAAACAACTCAATGTCATGTCTATGTCAAGGCAATCATCAGAGATTGATCCAAATGCAATTCCAAAATGATAGTTTCGTAAAAAGAAGGAAATATAAGAAAGTAGTTAGGAACAAAACACATAAAAAAATCAATGTACAAAGAAATTTTGTTTCTTATGAATATGATGATGAGTTATCCTGGTTTCCTTCAAATTCTTATTTCAATGTTTTGTGTATATAAATTAATTAACTTGTAATTCACATTCTTCCTTCATATGTCTTTTTATTTCATATGATCCATCTTCAAATTTTATGAGGGATCAAATCCCACCACATGCTTACTGTTAAGAATGTACCAATTACATGCTTATATGTCTTGTTTGTTGTTAACTCAGTACATACTTCTCTAGTTGCATGAATGAAAATGACAAATGAAACTAATATATGATAAAGATCCATTATCACACAATCAATTATTTTTAATTATATTTCTACAGATTAATTTAATTTAATATTTACTTGTACAACATTTTATGTTGGATTACTAAACTTCTTAATTGCAAGATATAATTGTTGATGACATAACAAAAGATATCTCACATTTGAAAAATCATGAAAATTTTATATAAGCTTGTAATGACCCTTCAAGCCATTTCTATATCATTATCTTCTTTTCGTCGTTTAGAGAATTCCTATAATTGTTGATGACATAACAAAGGATATCTCACATTTAAAAAATCATGAAAATTTTATATAAGCTTGTAATGACCCTTCAGGCCATTTCTATATCATTATCTTCTTTTCGTCGTTTAGAGAATTCCTATAGCGATACAAAGTCACTTATTGGGCTGACAGTTCGGTCACCTGATTGTTTGTTTGGATTTTATGCGAGTTTCTATATTTTAAGCTTTTGAAACTTTAACGATTGACTTCGGTCAAAAGTTAAGACAGCCTTATAATGCAAGTATAATGGTTCCGTTAGGTCAAGAATGTCAACTTTGGTCTAAAATGATCTTCGGTGCAGATCTCGAGGCTTCCAAGATCATCCCGAGCCCCCTTCTGGAATTTGACTAGCATTAAAGTTTGGGTGTGGGACCCACTTTTCATCCAAACGACCCTGATTAGAAGCTTCAACATCTCTCTTGAGTCTGAAATGCCAAACTTTGTGGGGTAGCATATATCATTTACGTGCACGGGGTTCAAAATGAATCTCGAGTACCCCTTCGAGGATTTTGAAAGTTGGGTGTTTTGATGATGCACTAGCCGCTGGTAAAGTGACTTCCTTCACCATGATCACGAGAAGCCTCCGCACCATTGTGAAGCGCTTGCACCTGCCCATTACAATCATGTGGCCACTTGGTTACGGTCAAGAAGAATTGTCCAACCGTGTTGACCACCTTTGGTCATCATGGTTGCGGATATTGACCTCCAGGATCGTGGAGATCATTTATGTGGTGGTCCGTGATCACGGCCCTCCCATTCGCAATCACAGAGATTATTTCTTGGGTTTTTTTGCTTCCGACTAGAGCATGATTCATCTATTTCAAAGGTTCGGTTTGAGTTTTTGAGAGAAATACACCTCCATTTTGGGTGATTTTAGTTGCATTTTTTTCTAGAAATTGTGTGGCTTCGTATTAGAGTGATCAAGGAGGTGCACGGAGCTTCCGTAATTCTCATCTCGAATGGACTTCCTAGTTTCATTTTTTGTGTTCTTGTTGTTTTGTTGCATATTGTTGAATTCTGTCCACTGTCCTTGTGAGCCTTGAATTATGTCCCATTTTTGGAAAAAGCTGTTAAGCGAACTATTAGGATACTTTTACAAAGTCAATTTTAGTATTCCTAGAACGGGTCCACATGGCCATTTTGAATTAACTTTTGATCCGTCTTTAATTTTTGTGTTTTTGGTGTCAATTGTAATTTTGTTTGTGAAAGCATGACAACAATCGGAGGCCTTTCTAAAAAAGAAAAGCTTTAGAATCATGATGATTGACTTTTGAGGTAAGCTACAACTTACGACTTGATATAGATCTTGTGTTTGTGAATTCATCATGTTCATCAGATAGTGTTGGGAGGGATTTCTAGGTTATTTATGTTTAGTAAATAGAATTTATGTTTGAGGAGTCTGTTGGTTAATTTTTGGGTAGTAAGGAGCATGTCTACCTAGTTGTCTTGATTCCTTCGTGCATTGTGTTTTCACTTGTTTGATTGCGTTGCTAATTCATGCTTTCTCGTTAGAGTTCACTCCCTAGGTGGTTGTCGAGTTTTTCATGAAGTGATGACAGGTTTCTTTCTTATCTTGTGATTACCCCTTACCTTGCCGTCTTCATGTCTACTTGTTTATAATTATTGGAAGCTTGTATTGGCCTTAGATTAGGTGTAAGCTAGTTATTACCTTAGAATCCTGTTTTGGAGTTGATAGTACTTAGAATTGCTCTGACATCACTTTGAATGGATTAGCTCCCTATAAAGATTGATCTAGCAGATTTAGGTATGATTAGTGTGTGTCTTATCTAGGTTGTAACTCAGCTTCGGTGACCTTTCATTCATAATTTTCTTTTTACTAAGGCCCTAGTAATTCTTCATTGTGATTTCATGTTTTGTTAGATGAGTCGAGGTTGAATCTAAGTTGGGCTTGACGTGGTTCATTTGCAACTTTGGAGGGGAGTCGACCCACGATGGCCATAAAATGGTGACTTTGATACGGGACTCTCCTTCTACAATTCGTATAGCCGCTGATTTAAGATCTAGGCATACCACTCTTTCTGTCGCAGATTCAAGGTCTAGGCTCATAATCTTCGGCCACAGTGTGAACTCCATACATATTATCATCGGTTGAATTGATCCATAATAACATGGTTCATTTGGGATCTTTGGGCATCTTATTCGTGGTTCAAGGTCGGGGATATGAACACCCAATTCTAGATTTACTCGTTCTCATACTCTATAGTTATAGCTTTTTTGTGTTCTCAACGGGCTTATGCAGGGTCCATTCGAATTATTTGCTTTAAATTACGCATAAGTATACCTTTTTGGCTTATCAGTTCAATTAGGTTTTAGCTAGTTACTTGGCCTCCTTTTCATATAGTTCTAGACTTGTGTGTGCTTTAGTTTGATATAGTATCTTCTGTTCCTTCACCTTTAGTTAGTGTTATTTCTTACTTTTCATTATTATCTTTACTTTTCAAGCTCAGTCGGTCTACGATGCCTACTCGGTACCCTATTATTTTAGTACTCATACCACAATATACATATGTTTTTGT